TCTTTAATTTCATTCTCTGTGTTTAGAAGGATATTGCTTGATTTCCATGTGTTTATGTAGTTTGTGTGACTTACTGTGTCATTGATTTCCAGTTACATAGCACAATGTATGAATGGTGTGATTTCAATTCCTCTATCTTTATTTAAACATGTTTTGTCAGCTAATATATGGTCTATTTATAGCCTGTATATGTTCTGATGTTTTGGGGTAGATCATTCTGTAGACATCTATCAAGTCAATTTGTTCATAGGCTTGGCTTAATTCTAATATTTCTTTGTTGATTTTTTGCCTAGTTGTTATATCTATTTGTAAAAGTGGGGTATTAAGGTCCCTCACTACAATTGGGTTAGTGCTTATTTGGTTTTTCATATCTGTTAATATTTGTTTTACATTGTTGGGTGAACCTGCGTTTGGTACATAAATATTGAAGATTGCTATCTCTTCTTCTTGGAGTTTTTCCTTAATAAATATGTAGTGACTTTCTTTATTTCTTTTGATCTGTTTGGCTTAAAGTTTTCATTCTCTGAAAATAGAATATCTACCCTTGATTTTATCAGGCTTCCTGTGGCATGGAGAATTGTTTTCCATCCTTTGACTTTTACTCTATGAATTTCTTTTGGTTTAAATGTGCTTTATGAATGCAGCATATTTTTCGATCTTGTTTCTTGATCCATTCTGCCAATGAGGATCCATTGAGGGTTTGTGTTGAGATGTCTTTTGGTTGGTGAGTTGGGAATATTTACATTGATGGGTATGACTGATATATATTGGCTTTTCTTTGACATGTTGTTCCCTGTTATTTGTTCCCTGTCTTTCTTCTCTGTGTAATTGCTTGCCTTGCCTGGCAGATTCTTTCTAATGCATTCCTATATTTGTTGTCTTCATTGTCTCTTTCTATTATGTTTTTCAGAACACTCTGTAGAGCTAATTGGGTGGTCATAAATTTCTTCCCTTGTTTTTTGTCATATTAGTACTTTATTTCTCCATCAATTTTTGTGGGATACATCAGTCTGGGTTGAATATTGTTTTCCTATAGGTCTTGAAATACATTGCTCCAAGATCATCTTGATTTGAGGATTTGTGTTGAGATATCTGTTGTGATTCTTATAGCATGTTTACTTCTCTTGCTGCTTTTAACAGTTTGTTCTTGTGCTTAATTTCTGGAATTTTGATTATTATATGCCTTGGTGTAAATTTGTCTTGGAAATGGCTGTTTGGGATTGTATATGTTTTATTTATTTGTATGTCAAATTCTTTAAAATGTTTGGGAGGTTTTCTGCCATTATTTCCATAAAGAAATTATTAATGGCTTTTGCC